TTTCAAAAAAATAAAGCAGGTATCTTACAGTCTTGACATAAATTTAAACAACCCTAACATAAATTTGGAGAAGTAAACATTCAAATTATCTATATAAAGTTTTGCTATATAGTATTATTTGTAAGAACCTGACTATGCCCAAGTAGTAAAGGTTGTTGAGTTTGTATAATAACTCCTCACCTCTATGGGTGCAAGTCCTAGCTACGCTGGACTTTGGTTTCTTTCATGTGAGGAAGTTATTATAAAGCTAAGGTAACAGATATTTTGTGGATCTACTTGTGCCTGAAATAATGCACTAAGGGGGCACTTCCACTTTTAAATTTGGGAAAGTCATCATAATAATGACCTTTAATGCATTCAGCATGACTTAAAATTAAACCATTCATTTAGCATTATTTATGGTTAAAATGTTTCTTTCCTTAATTGAGACCTAAGGTTATTAAATTAAACCTGCATTTAGAGACAAGTCTCAACTTTAAATGCATGCTAAGACTGGTCATAGAGTTAGGCCAGGAACCATTCTTAAAACAGATACTGGTAACAGGTTTTAGAACTTTGTGTCCCGCAATATTTTATCTTAAGTGTCAAAATTACATGTAAACTAGTTATCTTTTCAATACTCAGATATTTGTTGAACCCACATACAAATGTATATGTAAATACGTGAAAAAAGGTATAAGCAAAATTAGCATTATTAATAAGGTATCTGAAAATTTCTATTTCAGAGTGAAAGTCCCAGTAGAAAACGTCGGAAAACGTCTGGAAGTATTATAGATCTGACAAATACGGGTAATTCTCCCACCCCACCAGAGACCTTAATGCAATGTGAGTCCGCCCAGCCAGAGAGCGTAAGGTTACGACGTCGAAATCCAAGTCAGCGTCGGCCATCCGGTGAACGCTCTCATACGCCGAGAGCAAGACGAAGGTAAAAAATGAACTTTGTATAAGAATTGTTTTTTCTTCAATTTAAAGATCTTTCTTCTCAGTGGTGTAAGTTCTGAACCTTCTGGAATTCATGTCGTCTTTGTTACGTCTGCATAGAAGTGAGATTTTTATGCAGGTTACTTTCTACACAGGAAGGATAGTCTGCATTGCTTCAATATTTGTGGTGGTTATATATCATCAAGCATGTAGATATTGATATTGATTCAGTTGTCTCCCTTTATATACTTATGGATTTATTACAGTATATATATATGTAAAACATATGATATATAGATATTTATGTATATGTTTTAAACCAGATGGTGTTTACCGTTAAATTTTGTGTAGTTTGAAGTATAGAGGAAACATGTTGCTATTTTGAAGCAGTGTTTGTCGATTATCTCACATGGAATGTTGCATAAAAAGAAGTTGAACGAATTCTACATAACACACCTATTTTTAGCTTATGCTTAAGAATCCCAGTCTCTGTGGCTGACTTAGAATGACTTGTCCCATGCTTCTGGGTGTTTGATGAACTTATCCTGCTAGCTTACAGAAGGTCCATGGTTCTACTCAATACACAGAGGGGCACCACAATTCCTCCACAATTAAGGCTTGGTCTCTTTATACATATCATGTTTGATATTTATATCACACCATATGAAACATAACCAAAAATCTTTCGCATTTGAACCATGTTATGTTCTAATAGAAATCTTTATTAGATAATTGAACCAGTTCAGCTTTGTTTTGATGTCCGGGATCCAAAAATCCATATCAAATTCTTATTGTGCTTGAAGAAATATATATGTGTCAAAATGTCAAAAAAGTGATGTGAAATAAAGAGGTCATTATACATTGTTAAGAACAGTACTGATACTATTGGATTTGTAAACAAATGCAAAATCTATATCAAACTCAGCTAGCGCCTTGTCCAATATAGTTTTGACAGCTGTGATCTTCTTGTCCAATATAATTCAGTATTGTACTCAACAATCATAATAGATAACTTTGACTACAATAGGAATAATTGATAATTTTAAAACTGTCCTTACTCAAAAGAAGTTAAAATGGTGGTGTCACTATGTGATGAGCCTATATCACAATATCTTCAATAGAGTTCAAGACCTGAAAGACTGCAACTTTAATATGCTGTAAATTTAGTTTTAATGTCTTACTAACTTATATCTATAGTAAATGCTTTGTGTGTCAATTTGCATTGAAAAGTGTAATTGGTTGAATTTACCTGTGGTTTTTATGTTTTTGTGTGTTTGTTTATGTGTTTTATTTGTCAATGATATTTCATTGCACATAGATTGATTAATTTCCATTTCTATACTATTTTGAAAAGAGTCAAAAAAGAATCTGTATTCAGCACTACATCTATGAAAATGAAAATAAAAATGTTTTATATTACATCCATAATTATATAATTAAGTCTAAAGAAAAATTTTGACTATGTTCAATATACCAACTTTCAAAGACTTTAAATCTTTTAAATCTTATTTTGCACCTAGTATTATTTTCTATCATTTGTAACTTACTATAATGTATACTTTTAAATTTGCTAAAGAAGGCATTCACTGCCCTAAAGGTTTTTTACCTTTAATTGGTGGCTTAAGGTTGGTACAGTGATTTTATTCTAGTATTGACCTAGTACAGTATTACACAGGGGCATACATGATAGATTGACCTTGTGTAATTGTGACACAGTTTGAGTGAAATGACTGACAAGTCAGTTAACCGATATATCACTACTGCTGTGTTCAGTACTGTTGTGGTATGTCAAAGGAACATTGACAATTTGATTTTTTAAGTGACAGGTCCATATTTAACCCTTCCCAAGCTAAATATCTTAAATGGACTCGTCCATCTTTCAATACGGACTAAATCATACATTATTTGGAGTTAAAAATTTTTTTAAAAATACGTACTGACTGAATAGCGAACACAGGGCAGACCGTGATCAGAGGTAAAATCTGTAGCCCTGATAACTGCCCTCACCCAATCCCTACCAATGTTCAATACGACACCAGTAAAAAATATCCAAACAACAATTAAATAAACCCACAAAATTTTGAGTCCTAATAAAAATATAAAACATATTTTACAGCATTTAGAAATATATATTTAGTATGTAAGCCTAATAGGCCTAGGCCTAACAACAATCAGATATTATTATTCAATTTTAGAAATTATATTTCTTTTTTTAAAAGTACATGGATATACTAAAAATATTTTTATGCTATTTATTACTACATGTACCTATATTTAAATACAAATAGGCATTTTACCTCTAGGTTAATTATATTTACATAATATTTTTGAAAGATCTTTTATGTAAAATATGTTTTAAATAGGTCTATTGTGAACTGGCTTAAACAAGTGAAGTAACATTTAAACAGACTTGCTGTACAATTTTATATAGAAACTTTGTTAGTTCAATAGGAAGAACATTATAATTGACTTAAGATATAACATTTGTGTTTTCGGATCCTGGGCAGCTCACTATGTCATAGTCTCAGTGAAATCTTTGTTGCAGACATTTTGTCTACATTCTGTTGTCCCCTACAGCTGATTTAAGTATTACATGTGGAGAAGTTGGCAGGTACCTGTGGGGAACAGGTTTACATAGTAATGCATCAAGCAATATTGCCTGAAGGTATAAGACTGATGATAATATAAAGGAGTAAAATAAGACCCTATAAAAATAAAGCAACAAAGAAAACAACATCAAAAAACCCAACAGAATCTATATATATAATATATATGTTTCTTTATTGAAAATTGATCTTTTTATTTGAATTTTGTTCTATTATACAAGATTTAACAAAAACATTTTCTCATTTAAGCCAATTAAGCTAGCTTTTTATATCAGAATTGTATTAAGGTTATGTTGAACAATGTTATGTGTTATCATTGTGATCTCTTTATTATTTACATAATATGAAATGCTGTTTTGTTTAAATTATGGTGGACATTATAAACTGTCCCAACAATTATATAATAAGAAATATATACTGTAGATCTATATACAAATAATAACAAAGATAAGTGGCAAATAGCTATTTACTGCTCTTTAAAGAAGTAATTTCTTAATTTAAACTGTTCACTACCTAAAAACAATAAAAGAAAGGTTGAAACTATTCACTACCTAAATAACAGGAAGTGAGATCATAGATATGACATCACATCCTTGTTTTCAAGTTTCAGCCAATGAATAAAGTTGTTACAAACTGATGAACTTTTTATGTAAACTGTTCAAAGAAAAACAAACATGCAACAAATACAACAATTATAGATAATTTGAAAGAAATGCCACTGAAAAGAGATAAAAAACTGAGGAGAGAAAAAATATTTGTGTGAGAAGAGAAATAGAAAATTCTTTGCTTGGACATTTATTGGAGAGAGTTGTAATTTATGGAAAATACAAGCATGAGAGTAAAACTGTAAAAGAGGATAAAAACTAGGGTGTAATCATGTATTTCCAGGATTTACAGGCAGAATTTCCCGAGTTTTACAATCTGGAAAATGAGCACATAGCAGCTTCATCACGAGTTGGAGCTCATGTTCAGACTAATAATCAATACGTGAATGCTGGTGATTCTCAGAGTAACTACTGTTATATGAGAGGGATTGTACAGCCACGCATTCAATCAATACCAGTGGCAGTGAGATTGGAAACTCCTGTAAGGGAGCCATTGTTCTTTATTCCCACATCAATACAGGAACCAGCATTAACTCCAGGAGCTCCATTACTAAGACCCGTTGATAGTTTGGTTCACAATATGATGCCAGCAAACTATGTGCCGTTAGGGCAACAACAGATGTTGTTTAATAGAGCGGGTATGCCAGGTTTTATACTTGATACACGGCCCGGGCAATTTGTTTATGTACCATATGTTCAAAATAATCAACGGCCAGTGCTACCCACACCAGCTGGTGTCAATGGAAGCATGCTTATTCCAAACAGGAATCCAATGTTCAATACTCTGATTACTCCAGGTCAAAGCATCAGTGTACATATTAATATTCAGAATGATTTACGTTCTATGCAACCCCAGGTGAGTAATATTTCAAATGCAGGTCACCTTCCTTTCCTTCCTACCCAGAATGCACATCTAAATCAAATCAATACACTTTGTCAACCAGTGGCGATGCCTTCTCATTTACACGAAAGTTTGAACATACATTCTGCAAATTTTAATTATTTATCAAATCAGAATTTGAGTTCTCCTGCAGATTCTCAGACTCATAATTTAAACTTTAACGATATTTGGCGAACATCATATGAAATGGTTACTAATACTACGGATCTGTTAATGCGTGAATTTAGAATTAGACATCCAAGTCGCAGTAATGTTGACACAAATTCTCTAAGTCATCAAAATGATGTGGTTAACAATAACCAAACATCAAGTACTGCCAGTACTGGACAGCCAGAACATGTAAATACAAACATGTTTCAATCACAATGTCATATCTCTGGTGTTTGTTCACCAGCCATTCAACTAGCTGGAAGTGGTCAACATATAGAAAGTAGTTTCTATCCAAATTATAATCAGAATGGGGCAGAGTTTATCCTCCCCCATGTTAACATTCTAACTCAAAATCTGATCAATTCAATGAAAAACATTCTTCCTCATAATTTACCTGACATTAGCAATATATTAGATGAAGAGAGATTGCGATTAGAAGAACATGACATTAATTACCATAGACAATCTTCTGGTGTAAATAATGAGGTGAATTCTTCACCCTATCTAACAAATGTAAGTTACACTGGACCAGCTGCACTCAATATACAATCAGATACACTGACCAGCGAAGATCAGGTGTTCTGTACAAGTTCACAACAGTGTGTTTCTGCAAGTCTACAACAGGTGACATGTACACATTCACAACAGTGTGCTTCTGCAGCATCAGGGAGAAACACATATGCAAATACAGTGTTTAATGGCAATCAAGTTGAATGTTTTAATAGCAGTTATACATCAGAATTGGACTCTACCACTAAAAATAGAAATAGGGAATGTAAGAAGAGACATAAAAAACATGAGATTGAAGCTGTTGACAGCTCTCCTAGTAAAAATATAAAGTCTGAAACGAATCGAGACAAGATTAAGATGTATCCTAGCATTTCTCGCAATGGAAATGATCACTCCAATATAACTAATAATATAGGCATTGATGCAAGCAGTTTTCAGTCTAAGCCAGGTATCTTTGTTGAAAATTCTACTGTGGATAACAGCTCTGTATGCACATCATCTGGTACCAGTTTAGTAAATGAAGGAGCCAGAATCATTTGTAGTAAAGCAGGTACCAGTCAAGTCAGTACAGTGTCTGCATCTAGTGCCGCCAGTTCCAGTAACCATTTCCAATTTGTTACTGTGGACTCGGGTGCAACCTGCCAATTACCTAGAACCACTCAAATGAGAAATAACGAGAATAATGATTATAGGTGCTATGGAAATAGTGATAAGACTTTTCCAATTCAGAGAACTGGCAAAGTTTCAATATGTTTGAATGCTGCTGATGTGAGTGACAATTATCGCATTAATAAAAATAGATCTGAAATGCTTCATTCAAAAGAAAATAATCATTTTAATGACATTTTAAATGATGACAATGAAAAAACACATTTTGATCTGCCAGCAGTATCTCCTGAACAAACTACACTGATATCTGAGGAAACAATAAATGAGGAGCAACTAGAGGACACAACTCTTCACAGTCAGTCTGGTTTGTTTGACAGTTTGTCAAGTAGGGCATGGAGAAATAGAATTCTGTTCGAGTCACAGCAGCAATTTCTCAACACTGACAATTCTCCAAGAACCAATGCAGCATCTCTAGCTGGCAGAATGACTTCATCAATATTGAGAGATCTATACAGATTTACTACAAGATTTAGAGATGGCAGCATTGATGTTACTTCAAATATTGATATTGCAGAAGAAGATAGATATAATAGTGAGAGAGAGGAAGTTTACAGACTTGCTGGTTTTACAAGCAGATCAGACCGCACTTTTTCATATACAGAGGCCCACGCTTCATCAAGTGTCAGGGATGATCAGGTGAGAAGAAGGGATGATACACAAGGTCCATTCCAGAGATATTTTCATAATCTTATGTATCAGTTTTACATGGAGATATTTATGTGGATGTATATTTCGGTGAGCACAAATCCACGATACATCAGTTCTGTCGTGTTAATTGATCTGATTGGACAAGGTTTAGGACAAAATTCGGAAGATGTGCTGGTTACATTGCTGGCTGGATTTCTAGAAGGATCATTGTCCTCAATGGGTTTACATGTTGAAATGGTTGACATATTGTTACAGCAGATAGACATAAGGCGTCAGGTTTTTCCAGATATGATTGCAACATTACGAGATATTTCTGTGCTCCTATACTTGAGACTGGAACCAAGCTCTTTCCTGGGACAATTTACAGAGATTATACGACAAGCTGCAAGGAATGTAATTCTTCAGCAAGATCAGACAGGAACCAGTATCTCAAATGCTAGGAGTACTTCTTGTCAACATGATGAGTTGGGAACCAGACGAAGCATGTCAAGTCAGCACGATTTGCCAAGATTTTGTACGCCTGACATCATTGCAAGGTATTTTATCGGTGAAAGTGCAATTGTTTTAATGCAAAAGGATGATTTGGAATGTTATTAATGCCCAAATATAGGAAAGTAGGTCCTTGAAAAGAAGTGCTTCCTTGTTTTAAGTTAATTTGTAATTTATGAATGGTTATGTGACATTAGTTAATGGTAATAAATGAACAATTCGTGTCATTGTTTAATGATTTAAATTTACTTTTGAAGTATTTTTTCTGCTTTACATTATGTAAAGTTCTTTTGTTGCAAAACCATTTTTTTTTAAAGAGAATTTTAAAGATTTCATCCAATATTCCTCTTTATTTCTAGTTAACTTTATTTTTATTTGTTTGCATTGATGTACTTAAATTGTATTAGTCATGCCCACTAGTAGACGAGAGATGACATATGTTTATTTGATTGTATATAATAGTGCATTTGTTTTGACAACTTAAACAAATATGATATTTTAAAACTAATGATTTTTTAAAAATTATTTTAAAAAAAAGAAGAAAATTTTAAAAGTAAGAACTTCAAAAGGAAATAGAAGAAAAAAATGGATAAAGGAATTTAAAAAATGGGGATTAATAATTATGAAAGTCTTACTGCTACATTAGCCATGACTAAATTATTCAAATTTTCTTTGTTTGTGGATCAAAGTCCTAAAATGTTTTGTTTTTTTCCTTGCTCTGCTTTTGTGCTTAAATCAAACATCTTAAAACGATTACAAAGCATATCCTGTTTTGTAAGATTTATTTTAAACTCAAAGAATTTCTTTTCTTATGAGCTCAATGTTTTCTTTGCTTTATTTCCATGAATATGCCTTTGTTGTTTAAAACAAGTTTTATTTTGTATCCTGGTGTTTGATTTTTGTAAAAGATTTATGTTTACACTGGTTAAGTGGTTAGAAGGTTTACATTACAGGTGGTTTGAATGTTACAACGTTTGTAATATGATAAAGAGACTCTGGCTGGTCTTTGAGTAATGTAATGTATACATATTTATATATTTTCAGTCCTGGCACAAGGCGCAGGTCAGCACGAGAACGTCATGTGGGAAGGCACGGTGAAGCGTCGCCAGAGCGCCGCGCGTTTCAGCCGCCACTAGCTTCACAGCATATACATCCTGCCGCTCTACCTCTACAACAACAACAACAACAACCTGTACTCATTGATGTGGAATCGGTAAATATACATTAATAATGATGTACTCGGGCTTAATGTAAATATAACTTATTTTTATAAATTTAATATTTAACTTTTTTGTCATGCAATATATTTCTAACCTATTTCTATTGAACATTATTAAGGATGAATTTGTGTATAAATTTCTTCCTTGTTCAAAAACTTTCAAACTTAAATTCTTTTACAAGTGTGATTGTACTGGGAGAGTATTTCCGTTGGTTTCAGCGATATCTTGTTAATGAAGTCTCCTACATGAGGCTTTTGCAGAATCGATTGCTAATATAATGATCAACAATGGAATAGTGAGAGATTAGGGAAGAACCTGTAGTTTTGTGCCTGATTATGTAGAATATTGAATTGTTGGTAAAAAACTGTACATTTTCTTGTTTTATTTCATAGGTTCAGGCAGCTGCTCCGGTCACTATGGCACCCTATGGTCTCCCACTGTGTACTGGTCCACACATGCCTATTTGTACATCAGCTACGGGTCACATACCTGTGTGCGCGGCCACGGGTCAGGCCACTTGGTCGTTTCCCGCCTGCAGTATACAACACATTCCAGCCTGCAGTCTGCCTCAGTTAGCTCCCCTGACTACGCATCATCATCCGTCGATACCTCATGTCTTCACACCCACACATCGTCCACCTCAGCCTACAGGCAACATGGCACATCATCCACAGCATCATCATCAACAACAGCAACAACAACAACATCATCACCATCATCATCAGCGGTTACAACAACAACATCATTCTCAACATCCTCATTATACAGCAAATCATCAACAGGTAAACCTACACTTATATATTTATATTTTGCTATATATAGTATTCATTCTTTTATGTAAGAGGCTTATACAATAAGATACCACCACTGATATGTTATTTCTAACTTCAGACAGTTTATGAATTTCAAGTTAACAACTATTATGTCAAAGTTTCAGACTTTTATGAAATGTCAGGACTGAGCAGATTTTTTTTTTTTTTTGTTGAAGACTATTATTTTTACATTAAATGTAAATCAATTACTTTCATAGATTTTTTTGCCTGTAATTACAATTGTAAGATTATATAAAGTTGGTACAAGCATAATATCAGGTTACATTGGCATTGACTGCTGGAAAAAACAGGTTAGAACTAGTAGTAAGTTGTATCTTGTAAGTGTGATAATATGTGACTGAATTGATGTAAAATCTATAAATGTAACCTTTACTTAAGTTTTATAACTGTATTTGTTTTAAGCGGGGCCAGGAAGAAGAGGTTTATATTGAACGTATGCATCGTCGGCCACCAGCATACCATCATGTGCCACACCGAGGGTTCCCTCACACGCCTACCCTCACCCCATCACCTCCACTTATTCTACAAGAGCCAGCAGTACATCCCACTCCACAAGATATTTTTGTAAGTGTTCCTTTTTTTATACTTCACAGGAAATGTTTTGTTCTTAATTTTGTTATTTTCTAAACTGCGTTGAAAATGATTTCATGATTTTCTAATCTGTGTTGGAGATGATTTCATGACTCTCGGGCAATCTGTGTTAAAGAGTATGAAAAGAAATTATATTTGAAAGGGTATATGATATTGTGTGTAAGTATTATTAATGTCTGTTAATTTGCTATTAAACTGGTGAAAGAGAGGAAAATTATGTAATACGCAGTTGTCTGTTAGCCAATAGAAGTCAATACATATATAGCAAAACTTTCTCTTGTGTACAAATACAGCAGTACCAAAAAGTAGACAATCCTGAAATCCTGACATTTTTCTTAAACACAATTTGTTATTCTTCCAAGTCTGCTTTTTTTGTCCTTGGCTGTCATGTATATGTTAAGGCCATCTCACTTGATTTCCAATTTGAAAATGATCAAATAAAGATTTTGATATATGCATTGTAATAAGTTTATTTTTGTTGTTGTTTTCCCATGAATAACATGTAAGGTATGGACATTGAAAAAAGTATGTAGAAATTGAACCATATTTATTTATTGTTATATATTTTGACTTATTTCTGAACATTTATTGTATAATTTTAATTAATTTTGCTTTTTTTTCTATTTACAGGGTCCTTTTCAGAGGTTTTACACACAACATAGAACTATGGGTCGGCGATCAATGAGAAACTTCCCACCTCCTCCACCACCTTACCCAGGATTCCTGTTACACTTCCTGTAAGTAATTACGCCACATTGAGATATTTTCTCATTCTCAAAATAGATATTTTTATAGGCATTTCCATTGCTTATGCCTCATTATTATAGATAGTTTGATGTAAACTTGCAGGAAATCTGATACAAAGTTTATAGGTGAATAGTTGTTTTTATGGATATAGATTTCATGCATTATGATTTGCTGGAAAACTTGACAACTTGAATAAAAACTTTATTCTGTGACATTTGATATATTGTCACATGTTATCAATTGGATAATTCACATAAAACATATTTAAGACAAATTTCAAGGCTAGGTCTTGTCCCTGGTAAAAAATTGACTTTTGAATCCTCAAACAAAAAGTTGCATTTTGGCATATATTGCCTTGCATTGTGTATGAAGTAAATAATTTGTAAGTGAAGGGAGACAACTCAAAACACTTTGTATATTTTGTGTTGGATGTTTATAGAGCAATGTTGGGGAATCCCCCTGTACCTCCTTATGGACGTGACCTCCATGACGAAGCTACAGAAGAGAACTATGAGGCCTTGTTGAATCTCGCAGAAAGACTTGGAGACGCAAAACCCAAAGGTCTGTGCAAGCCAGAAATCGAGCAGCTCCCTGCATACAGATTTAATGGCGAGAATCTCCGTAATGGTGCCGATCAAACATCTTGTGTTGTATGCATGTGCGATTTTGAGAACAGACAGTTACTTAGAGTTCTGCCTTGTTACCACGAGTTCCACGCAAAATGCATCGATAAATGGTTAAAGGTAAGCTTACAAATTTTGTTTTGGTTGTTTTGTTTTCAGTTTAGCCATTATATAGAGTCTTTTTAGCAGTGTAAAAGATATATGCTGACAAGCAGTTCCTTTAACAAATGTTCCTGATTTCTGTACCAGGGTCCAATAAAATTATCAAGCTCAAACTTAGATGTCAGGCATTTGATTGGTTAGAAACTGGCACAGAATGTGCATCGACCAATGAAAGTCCTGTGATTTGAGACACAGTAATGTTTTGTAACCTTGAGGCCAGTGCTAAGCTGTTTTAAACAGGTAACTTGCCAACTTTTCAAATACAATGACAGAGAATTGTTTTTCTTGTTTTTAGGAGGCTTTTATCATTAGCTTAACTATGAAATGGTGTGTTGTTTTTTTGATGGCTGAAAAAAGTCATTGACTTGATTAATATCTTTTGTAGAAATATTGGGGGTTTTGTATACCATTAAGTTGGACTTATCAGGCTTGAATTTCATGGAATTAAAATCATTTGCAAAAAAGTTGATAATGATATAATGTTTACTTTTTTTCTTCTTCCAGACAAATAGAACATGTCCAATTTGCAGAGCAGATGCCTCGGAAATAGGGAGTCAGTCTGATTAGTTAATGCAGCAAAAAATTGTGCACAGTCAACAGGAGAAAAAAAGTGTGTTCTCAAGGTGTGCATAAGAATTGTAACTTGTGGAAATCACACCTCCAGTTGTGTAATTGAAGAATTCTGTCAAAATGATGACAGTGACATTTTACAATCAATGCAAAAATGATGATGTTCATTGTCGGTGCAGAATTACTTGCAATGAGTTTTTTCTCTCTTTGTTTTAATATAGAAACAAACAAGCAAACATCAGTGATTTAAATAAAGTGCTGTTTGTAATATAACATATTGTTGTGTTGTTTTAAAGATTTGTGCTGATTCAATTTCTGTTTTTTTTTTCTTCAGTGTTGTCTATTTTTTCTTTGTTAATTATACATAGTACAAAGGTATATTTTTCACACACACTCAAAGTATTCTCATTTTATGTGCATTATTGTATATTACTTCATGTTGGCACATTTTTGTTTCTAAATTTAGCAACTTATATGATCTAAGCCTTATATTAAAGGTAACTGCTACCCAAAAATAGTATCATCAAAATTGGAATTTCAAGTAAAACTGATTTAAAATTACATTTCTGTCTTTTCTTTTACCATTAAAGTGGTTTACAGAATAATAGTCCTAGATATTTTCCTATGTTCCAGAATTGTTTTTATGCCAAGTTGAACCTTTGACCTAACATGCCTGGCTGGTGGCTTTGATTTATAATAAACCGGAGAATAAAAGTTCATGTTATTAAAAATCTAATATCATTAAAGATTTATTTTGTATAACAGAACCTTTGCAAATAATATTTTTTTTAAAATATTTCAAAATTTGAAAATGATTTCTGTTTTTGATTAAAAAAAATTTTTTATAAGAGATCAATGCTGAAATTGAGAGTGATCTTTTCTAATACATATTTAATGGTTTTTAAAAAAAGTTTGATATTAATGCCGGTATTATCAGATTATGATTTGCCAGTAGACAAAGTGCTTCCCATTTGTGGCCTAAATGAATTATTATTGAATTTTTAGTGTTTCAAAAATTGTATAAAAAACAACATCAGATTGTAATCTTGTATCATTTTTGTACAAACTGTAAATGTGTATTATTTTAGGATGCTAATAGTAGGCGTTATTCTATGAAGGCGCTTAATTTAAGTTTATTTATAATTCTATGAAGTATTTATATATTGTCTTTAAGACTGTATTATTGTAAAAAATAACTACACCTTATTTTTGAAAACTACAATCCCTGTGATGTTGTGATGTAAATTTGTGCGATTTGTTCACGGCACATAAAAAAGCTATTCTATATTTTGTACATATGTTTGGAGTTAAGCACTACAGCACCTTCACACTTGGTCCAAAGGGTAAACTTGTGCTGAAAATTGTTTTTATCTTCTTTTTTTTCTGTTTTTTAGGGTTTTTTTTTAGCTCACCTGTCACTTTGTGACAGGGTGAGCTTTTGTGATCACTTTTCGTCCGTCCGTCGTCCGTAAACTTTAACTTTAAATGACATCTCCTCATAAACCACTGAGCCAATTTCATCCAAACTGCACAGGAGTGTTCCTTTGGTGGTCACCTTTGAAAATTGTTCAAAGAATTTAATTCCATGCAGAACTCTGGTTGCCATGGCAATCAAAAGAAAAAACTTTAAATGTCTTCTTCTAAAAAACCCAAAGAGCTAGAGCTTAGATATTTGGCATGAAACATCTTCTAGTAAGTGTCTACCAAGTTTATTCAAATAAAAGCCCTGGGGTCAAAATTGGCCCGCCCCAGGGGGTCATTGATTTTCTCTTTATGTATATAGTAAAAACTTAAAAAATCTTCTTTTAAAGAATCAAAAGAGCTAGAGCTAAGATATTAAGCATGAAACATATTCTAGTGAGTGTCTACAAATATTGTTCAAATAAAAGCCCTGGGGTCAAAACTGGCCCTGCCCCAGGGGTGTCATTGTTTTTAAATATATGTGTAAAGAAAAAACTTAAAAAATCTTCTTTTAAAAGACCCAACGAGCCAAACCTTAGATGTTTAGTATGAAACATCTTCTAATAAGTGTCTACCAAGTTTGTTCAAATAAATGCCCTGGGGTTTAAACTGGCCCCGCTCCGGGGGGCCAATATACAGGTGAGCGACTTCAGGGCCATCATGGCCCTCTTGTTTTTGGCAGGGATGTTATGCTTTAATTGAAGTTCTTTTATAATTTCATGTGTGGAATTTGGTTATTTTTTTTTTTAATCAATTTTGTGTCAAACTATATTGTTCAAATGATGCAAATTCTATTTTCGAGTCGTAAATAATGATCTCCACAGGAAAGAAAAAAAAGATTAACATATATACATTATATTCATGTAAATTAAAAAAGATATTTATATTCATGGGATATCAATTTTTTGTATTAACATCAATTAATTACACTTCATTTTTATTTCGTAAAAAAAAAAATCGCAAAAGAAGCATACTCATTTTTAGAAATCCATGTTTGTAAATATATTTGAACAAATTGTGTGTTCAAGAAAAGTTAAAATTAAAATTTTACAATAAGAAATTTGCATTTAATTCTTGCAACATTTGAAATTTCAATATTCTATAACAAGTTTTGTGGTAGACATTTATAATAAATATGCAATCTTTTTTTTCTTTTTTTTTTTTTTTGTAATTGTAGGTCAGTTTTATCTGTTGTTAACATTTTTCTCTCTTTTTTACATTTTTTTTATAAATAAACAAAAATAAGAATATGCAATTATTATTAGTTTTTTGTAGATCTCGCATTTGTATGTAAAAAAGGGAAAAAATCATAAATAAAAAATTTATACCAAATTCCTGTAAAATATTGGGAGAGAAATATATTCTTGTTTTTGTTGCACAAATGCTTTACCCCCTTGGTATTCCCCTGCCGCCCTTCCCCCAAGCAAGCAATTGCCCCTGCACATCCCCTACCCCCCCCCCTCCCCCTTTGTTTATCATTTTTTGTTATGTCTGTTGATGATATAATAATTTTTCGTATTAAACGTTGATGTCTTCTTGTTTACAGATAATTATTACAATGTTTACTGTACTCTATAATTTTAATGATAGTTTTTGTGGATTTTTAATTTGTTAAACATAAACAGTTCTCATTTTTTTACTGTTGAAAAGAAGAGACAGAAGTTTTAATAACTGTAGTAACATGTTTACTTCTTTTTATATGATATATATATAGATATTTACTTACTTTTTCTTAGGGTCTTCCGTTATGACAAAAACTCTTTATAAACATTTTGAACCTGCTATTTTACCTCTTGATGAAAATATTTATTGTTTCTTAGAAAAGTTGTTTCCATATTTTTTGTTGGCATTAAAATCGAAACGTATTAAACAATATCCTTTTTTTCAGTATCTGAAATATTGTCTGTCAGAATTTTTCGCTGTCATGTTTCTAGAAAATTTATAATTTGTAAAAATGTCTGCAACATGTGAAACATATATTTATATACCTTTCCTGCTATATAGTATATCAATTCAACTTACTGTATATACAAAGAAATATATATAATGAATCAGGCCAGTAAATTTTCATGCACACATATTATGTTTTTTGTCTTTAAATTTTATCTTCTTCTTTTTTTTTTCGTTCTTTGAACTATGATAACATAATTATATAATTCTGTAATTAATTCTCTTCCAAATTTTATGCTTATAACAATCAAAGTCAGAATTATAATGTCAAAACATTGCAGGTTTATTGAATTTTGTCTCAGTTATGTTTTTATGATGGCCTGTTTTATCTGTTTATTAACCGATAAATCTAGCTTAAGAATTAATAAGATTTTTTTTTATCATGAGCTGATGAAATGCCTAACGCTTAAATCACAGTCTTTATTATCATTAGTAGATCTGTTATTTTATAATTATGTGTGATTTGAGATGGGTGTTGTTGATGTGAGATCCAAATTAAAGTATTTGAATTTGTAAAAAATGTAAGCCAAAATTAGGTAACAATATGTCCGAAATTACTAGTTCACTTTTAAAGAAAGCCATGATTTTTAAACACTAGCAAATAGGGATTCATAAAATCATTTTTAAGTTTCAATATTTTTTAACATTTTACCCAACCACGCAATTACATTACAAGTGAGGAAGGTATCCAGCTTGCTTATGGAATGTTGATGGTTCTACTCGACCACTCACTTGAGCCAGAGATAATGCACAGAACGGCATCTGGTGTCCTACTCTACCAACCAACCAAGCTGAATATCTCCGTACAAACTTGATCTATACAAAAAAATGTTTTAACTATAAACTTTTAAGGTTTTACTTTCTAGAGCAAATATTGGATTCAAATAAAGTCTTTGTTGATCTGCAAAATTAGTATTGTTTCCAGTAGTTGTTTTTTTGTTCTTTTGTATTGTTTTACAACATTTGTTTGAAATTATAATGCCAAACGTTTCTCGTACATTGCTAATTATTGTTACGTTAAGTGCAACATTTTTGATGTTGTTTTTCTCAAATTTCATTTACAAATTTATATTTTAATCAATATTAAAGAGAATGGCTCTTTTGTAAATGCTGATTTTCCCCCAAGTTGAATTTGAAAAATATATCTTTAAATTCATGTACAAACATAAAGTTAAGAAATAATGTTTAATTATATTTTGGAAAGGCAGTTTGGCTTTTGTATCAGTTTAATTTTGTAGTTATCCAAAAAAATGTCTTGTTATTTAGAAAAACACTAAAAAAATCCACCACCAACAACTTTAACAAACAAACATTTCTACCTCATTATTTGAATCAGGTGTTTGGGGCTAAAGGATAAATTTTATCATATTAATGGAAAGTATTATCAAAACTTTATATAATAAAGCATATTTGTTTTTTGCTTCATGTGTTTAAGGTCACGAAATTAGATTTAACATTGTTAATAGTTTCTTGGTTATTATATTACATTAAAGTACAAAAAGATCAATCTATGTCCTTACTTCATTAGTTATAGTATAAGAAAAACTTTGTTTATACATTTAATTATGCTATGTAAATGTTTGTGTGACGTAGAAAGATTATTAAAAGCTGCTTTAATTAAATTGATATGTTTTGTCACTTATTGATATTCTCAAAAAAAATCATTTGTTTTAATATTTGTATAGGGTAATTCTATTTTCCTTCAACTTTTTTTTAAATTTATATTTAGACGTAAATAGGAATTATAGAATGTTACATAAGTTGTCATGTGGAACCGACTTACATACATGTCTTAAAAGTGTCAAGGAAATAAAGAACAGTGTCTGTTGCAGGCTTCATACCGTTTTGGTGAAGAGTTAAATGTAAGCCTAATATGACATGACAAAAAAAAAATCGCCAACTTGGTGCTGTAACTGGTTAACTCCTATTAAATTTAGAAGGACTTAACCTGTTACTGCACTAAGATGATGAAACTATAGGTTCTTCAATGACACAACACATGACGTCATACAGCCAGCAAACATAAAAATACTCGCAAAATAAATATTTGATGGACAATTCTTATATCAGAGTGTGTATAATGAAATACATTGTGGTTATATTATATTGAAATTAAGCAATGTCATGTAAATTGACAGGATGTTGTTCATTTATAAGATACAAAGTTAAAAAGTAAAAAAAAAAACAGTATTTTTAACCCCCTCAAAAGTTAAAACATTTTCTACCTTATGCTACAGTCATAACTTGACTAGAATTATTCACGAGTTTTTGTTTTTTTTCCTGTTGATACTTTAAGCTATAGTTCTATAGATTGTTGTTACTTAAGTTAAAGACATACTATTCAAGATTACATTTGTTTTTAGTGATCTAGTGTTTTAAATGTGAGTTTTTTTTGTTTATCTGCGTGTAATCTGGTTGTCCGTAATGTCTGATTTGTGAAATTATGTCAATAGTGATCGTTTTGTCTTCTATGTTTCTATAGACACATTATACTGTTGGTCAGATCCGACTGTTGACACATGCTGTATTTGTTTTATGGAAGATGTATTCTCGTACAAGCAGTAGCAGCTTTTAAATGTATTCAGCGCCACTTTCTGTTTGCATAGCTTAAGTCTTTGTGTACTTTTAAAAAATGTTTATATTAAAAATAAATTTCTTTCAAAAAGCAATAAACATATTCCTAATCTAAAACTGAGTTTGTGTATATGTAAAATCCTGTGTTTCAACTTTCCTACTGCTGCGTTGATACTACAAGAAATATGTAAAGTCCTGTGTTCCAACTTTTTCACATAAACCACCACGCAGGAGTGTAATAAAGCCATTTAATAAAAACAATATTACATAAGTGTAATAATACTTGGAAGTGATGTCATTTGCGTTATATACAAATATAGGTGCGTCAATTTAAAATGACTCTTTTTACCTGGCTGTGAATCGTTCTTATTTCGAGAAATATGAAAAGTCCTTTGTTCCAACTTACCTACTTAACTTAGCAATGAACACTGCTGTGTTGATACTATAAGAGATATGTAAAATCCTGTGTTCCAACTTCACGTTTTGAACACTGTTGCATTGATACTACAAGAGATATGAAAAATCCTGTGTTCCAATATGAACAAATAAGTAGCTCTCTTTGGTATATGGAAATGCGTCTCCCTGTTTAGAATGAATGTTTCTGAAAATGAACAAGCAAGCACCTGTCAGATAAATATCTGTTTGTGAAAATGAATAGTCTTTATGAAAATGTATGTTTCTTAGATGGATAATGATGCAGCAGTCTATATGAACATGTGTGTTTCTGAAAATGAAGAAAATGAAAAGCTGCACTAGTGGAAATATATGTTTTTGAGAAACAATGCCCTAATTCTAGAATTTGAAAAGCAAGCAGTTGTTTTTATGGAAATGAATCTTTTGTAAAATGAATAAGAAAGCAGTTGTCATTCTAGAAATATATTGACTTTTTTATCAATCTTCTAAAAGAAGACCAATGATTATCGTTCTATACATAAAATAGATCATTAAAAATCATACTTTTTGGCAGCATTTTTATCTGCAGAATATCTACGACTATTAAATCTTTTGCCAATTCGCTTTAAAATCCTTAAGCCTCTTTTAATAGAGAGTTATGAGCAAAAAAAGGAGAGATTAATTCTTATTTTGCAGTCAGGTTTAAATTTGTATATTAGCATCCTCTTGAAAATCAAGCTAGCTACTTTTATTTATTTTTTGTGTGTGCCTGTTTGATGATGAAGAATCAATTTGTTTGCCATTCTTTGATCTGAGAGAAAAACAAACACAACAATCCATTTTTAAAGCAGCCTTCAGTTTTTTTTAAAGATTCAGTATGTTATTTTTAGATAAACCATTTCATATAATTGTAAAATCAAAAGATTTAAGGTGGAAAAAAAAAACAATAAAAAAACCCCCAAAAAACATCAAAAATAAGGAAGCCCATGATACCTCTAATCTACCAGTCCAAACTCTGTATTCAAATTAGTAAAGCAAACAATTTGTTCCCTGTTCTTCTATTTTTATAACTGAATGTCACTGACATGTTATACTTAGCTCTCGGGAAGCAGTTTTGAAGAAGGCTTAACAGTGATATGATGCACTTTTCCAAGATAAAATGACTGAAATACAATGTGAAATACAATGCACTTAGTTTAAAGCAACACATAATTATTTTTTTCTGACAGCAAATAAAAACTGAAGGCTGCTTTAAGAACAATATGATAACATGTCTCATGTTCTTTACTGGAGTCAATCTGGAGTCAGTTGGTTTTTTTGTTGTTGTTGTTGTTGTTTTTTCTGTAGTTTGAGAATTTGTAACCAGCACAATATGAAAATCAATGTTCTCATAGTTACAACCAAATCGATACTTCGTCTTAAATAAATGACCGTCACTGTAACATGCCTGTGTTACATTTCCTTCATGGTAATCCAGTCATTTTAAATCAACATCAAAGAGCCTCATAAGAAAATTAAGTCAAATAAGATTATAAGTTGCTGAGTGCCTGAATAGATTGTTTGGAGCTTACTCTAAAAACTTTAAAGCTAGATGTGTATTTATTTAAGTTTAAATTTGTGAGACCTGACCTTTATTCTACATATTTTATGAGTTTTAATTGTGACTTGTCCTTGATTTTAGGTCACCTTTTCAAACTACATGTATACGGAGAGCTATACTATTTTACCTTGGCATTGGCACACATATTCTACATCCAGATTTATGGATTATATTTCTTGTGTGTTCAAATAGTTTTGCACTCTTCCATCTTTGTTACATGTACAATACTTTTCTTCATAAATTTAAAAGTGGATTTATTTTTTTGTGTGTTGGATGAAATTTTATTTCATCTCATTAGCTTCTAAAACAGACTATTCTCAAGAGTTTTGTAGCCGTTAGTGAAAATACTGTTTTTCAAGCTCACAAGATAAAATTAAATTACATTTATTTCTATTTATTTCATGATTGTTTAATGTGAAAGTTACTCTTTTTTTTCAATATTATCTATTAAATTTTAATTTCTTTCCCCAGAACAATATAAAGTTGTTCTTAATATCACCACTCACATCACTGATGACAAGGTTCATAACTCTGGCACAGATATTTTTAAAGAATTATAACCCCTTGTTTGCATAGAATTTCATGTAAATATAATGATTTACTAACTCTTTCTCCTAAATCCAAAAAGGGATTAAGATTAAACTTTTTTTCGCTCTATTACTTGTTGGTATTTGACAAAACTTGCTTGAGTACATAATGACATGAATGATAATTTTTAATGCATCATTGATAATTTTCCAACAGTAAATTGGGACATAACCTTTTCACAAATTTGGCAAAATCAAACTAAAAAAAACCAAAACAAAAAAGCCCTAATGTACTCTTCATCTAATACTTTAACTTTTCAATATCAAACACTGATGACCTCTCCATTTCAAGGGAGCTGGATATAGATAAGATAAGTGGAGTAGAGCAAAAAACTGAGTAAAATATCAATGTCCTTGAACATTATAGTTATCACCTTATTGTAGAATATTTGATCTGTGTCAGCACAATAACTTAAGTTTGACTGTACCAAGTTAGACCGACAAAGTGTAAAATCATTACAACTTTATAAACTCTTGACAATTAACCATTGACAATCTAAATAATTGTGTACATTTTGCTAATTAACTATTTGTAATATAAGTTATGTAAATTCTTTTAAACACTAAATTGAACATGAGTCATCATTATTGTTGATTCAAATATTTCTTTACAATCACATTTCGCTAAAATGATCCTTTTATATTTTAAAATTTAATAAGATATATATTTTTTTTTAAATGTTTTTTTTTTTAAAGCAAAATTTTGACATGGGGTAAAGCATTGCAGAGGGGGCTGGAAATTATTGTTCAATTATACAGTAAAATGTCACGTAACAATACTCCTAATATAGGATTATGTCCCTTTTATCATCTAATGAGGGAAAATAAGTGAAAAATGAATGGTGAACTCCTTAGTATCTAATGTGAAGTGGGTGGGGATGAGAAAACAATTAAAAACAGTCAAACCAAACATCCTTGCTTGTATCTTATGATCAAACACAGTGTTGTTATGGCAGTCAATAGAAACACAAGATATCGGCAATCTCTCGAAGTTTCGAAAAGTTCAGTTGATAAAGTACTGTATTTTGAAAAATATTTGTAAGTTTTAAATTTACCGATAAGTTTTTAATCTTTAGTTTTCATTAAAAAAAAATTCCTTTTTAATTTTATCCAAACTTAATGATGAAAATTGATTAAAAAGGAAATGCAAATATTGTCTGTAAACTTTGGTCTTTGTGTTTAATTTAGTTTTCACAAATTTATCGGCAGTATCAAAAAAAAAAAAAGTTTCCTATTTTACAGCAAAGAGCACAATACTCACTCATAACACAAACAGGGAACAAGAAATACTATTGATTTTTAGATAACAAAAACTATTTTTTGATAGTGGCATTTTTAAATTTAGCAAAGTTTTTGACTTTTCTTTTCATCTTGAATCGTACGATTTATTTTGTAAATGACTCTCCTATATAGGAAGTTTGATAAGTAGCGTGGAAGATTTGGAATTTAAAGATTTAGTCATTTGATTAAAATTGTCTATATATATTCGGTTTATATCTATACAGTGTTAGCAGTAACCACGTGTAGCTAGCAATGATGAAGGAGTTTGGATTACTTTCATTAATTAAGTGAGACATCAAGGAAAAATGTCCAGGTAATTTTTAATAATTACTTTAATTTGTACTGAATTGTAATTTTCAACAAGATATGTTTGTAAAACATGTATGCCCCCTATCAGCAGCCAAATAGTCATGTGATAAGGTTATTATGTATGACTTCTGACCCAGTGATCAAACAATTAATAAGGGTTATCAAGTATCTACTGGTCATGACCTTAACCTTTGACCCCTTGACCCAAAACTCAATACGGGTCATCTGCTGGTCACGACCAATCATCATACAAAGTTTGAAGTTCCTATGCCTAAGCGTTTTTAGTTAATTGATCGGAAACCGTTTTTACCTACAAGGTCAATGTGACCTTGACCTTTGACCACTTGACCCCAAAATCAATAGGTCATCTGCTGGTCATGACCAATCACTATACCAAGTTTGAAGTTCCTAGGCCTAAGGGTTCTTTAGTTATTTATCGTAAACCGTTTTAACATACATGGTCAATGTGACCTTGACCTTTGACCCTAAAATCAATAGGGGTCATCTGCTGCTCATGACCAATCACCATACCAAGTTTGAAGTTCCTAGGCCTAAGGGTTCTTTAATTATTGATCAGAAACCGTTTTTACTTACAATGTCAATGTGACCTTGACCTTTGACCCCTTGATCCCAAAATCAATAGGGGTAATCTGCTGGTCATGACAAATCACCATGCCAAGTTTGAAGTTCCTAGGCCTAAGCGTTCTTAAGTTATTGATCAGAAACCGTTTTTACTTACAAGGTCAATGTGACCTTGACCTTTGACCCCTTGACCCAAAACTCAATAGGGGTCATCTGCTGGTCACGACCAATCATCATACAAAGTTTGAAGTTCCTAGGCCTAAGCGTTTTTAGTTAATTGATCGGAAACCGTTTTTACCTACAAGGTCAATGTGACCTTGACCTTTGACCCCTTGACCCCAAAATCAATAGGTCATCTGCTGGTCATGACCAATCACTATACCAAGTTTGAAGTTCCTAGGCCTAAGGGTTCTTAAGTTATTGATTGGAAAGCATTTTAACCTACAAGGTCAATGTGACCTTGCCCTTTGACCCCTTAACCCCAATATCAATAGGGGTCATCTGCTGGTCATGACCAATCACCATACCAAGTTTGAAGTTCCTAGGCCTAAGGGTTCTTTAGTTATTGATCGGAAACCGTTTTTACCTAAGAGGTCAATGTGACCTTGACCTTTGACCCCTTGACCCCAAAATCAATAGGGGTCATCTGCTGATCATGACCAATCACCATACCAAGTTTGAAGTTCCTAGGCCTTAAGGTTCTTTAGTTATTGATCGGAAACCGTTTTTGCTTACAAGGTCAATGTGACATTGACCTTTGACCCCTTGACCCCAAAATCAATAGGGGTCATCTACTGGTCATGACCAATCACCATACCAAGTTTGAAGTTCCTAGGCCTAAGCGTTCTTTAGTTATTGATCGGTAACCGTTTTTATTTACAAAGTCAATTTGACCTTGACCTTTGACCCCTTGAACCCAAAATCAATAGGGGTTATCTACTTGTCATGACCAATCACCATACCAAGTTTTAAGTTCCTAGGCCTAAGGGCTCTTTAGTTATCACTCGGAAACCATTTGGTCTACGGACCGACGGACCGACAAGTGCAAAGCAATATACCCCCTTTTCTTCGAAATGGGGGCATAACTATATATGATTTCAATATCAGAAATTCTGCCTTATGTTCTAACCACCTCAATTTGTTTAATTTGATTGAATTTTGAACTGTCACATAAGTTTGATTTTTCTGTATTTAGATATTCAATAGTTAGCAGCAAACTGTAATATTATAAAGACTATACAATTTTCAGGTTTGTATGTTGGTAGAGTCTCAGGTCAGACTTCACAATGTTATAATGTTTAAGTCAGACTTCACAATGTTCAGGTTGGCATGTTGGTAGAGTCTCAGGTCAGACTTCACAATGTTAAGGTTGGTACAGACTTCACAATGTTCAGGTTGGCATGTTGGTAGAGTCTCAGGTCAGACTTCACAATGTTCAGGTTGGCATGTTGGTAGAGTCTCAGGTCAGACTTCACAATGTTCAGGTTGGCATGTTGTAGAGTCTCAGGTCAGACTATACAATGTTCAGGTTGGGCTGTAGAGTCTCAGGTCAGACTTCACAATGTTCAGGTTGGCTTGTAGAGTCTCAGGTCAGACTATACAATGTTCAGGTTGGCCTGTAGAGTCTCAGGTCAGACTATACAATGTACAGGTTGGCATGTAGGTAAAGTCTCAGGTCAGACTATACAAAGTACAGGTTAGCATGTGGGTAGAGCCTCAGATCAGATTACATAATGTTCAGGTTGGCCTGTAGAGCCTCAGGTCAGACTATACAATGTTCAGGTTGACCTGTAGAGCCTCAGGTCAGACTACATAATGTTCAGGTTGGCCTGTAGATTCTCAGGTCAGACTATACAATGTTCAGGTTGGTATGTCGGGGTAGAGTCTCAGGTCAGACTATACAATGTACAGGTTGGCATGTGGGTAGAGTCTCAGGTCAGACTATACAATGTTCAGGTTGGCCTGTAAAGTCTCAGGTCAGACTATACAATGTTCAGGTTGGCCTGTAGAGTCTCAGGTCAGACTATACAATGTTCAGGTTGGCCTGTAAAGTCTCAGGTCAGACTATACAATGTTCAGGCTGACCTGTAGAGTCTCAGGTCAGACTATACAATGTTCAGGTTGGCCTGTAGAGTCTCAGGTCAGAATACATAATGTTCATGTTGGTATGTGAGTAGAGTCTTAAGTCAGACTACACAATGTTCAGGTTGGTATGTGGGTAGAGTCTTAAGTCAGACAACACAATGTTCAGGTTGGCATGTAGGGTCTCGGGTCAGACTGCATGGTGTTCAGGTTGGCCTGTGTGTAGATTGTCAGATGGGACTGCACAATGTTTAAGTTGGCCGGTTTGTTTATTCTCAGTTTGGCCTGTAGAATCTGGTCAGCTGGACTATATAACTTTTTTAGTTCTTGGTGTACTGTCTTCATACTTGGCCACAACAATTTTTTCGACAATACCTTCGAGTAGACTAAATCAGGCTAAACTTAAATGACCTTAACCTTCCAGGTCAAATTTTTAATTTTTGCTTGATTTAGCAGATTTTTGCTGTAAGTGGCTATAACTTTGTTATTTTTGAATGGATTGTAAGATCTGTAAGATAATTATAGTGTATTCTTTGCCAAAATATCATACATGTATTTCACTGACCACCTGTTAATATTAGCTAATCAATTTTTAACAGTATCACTCCATGTGCATAGTGATAAATACTAGGTTCATGTAAGGTCATATAAGGTCAGTGTTCTGCTTTATACATTGATGATGCAGATGTAATGTTGACTGCACAGAGGTGCAGGGTGGCCTGACTTGATCATTACGTCCCACGGATCATACCTTTTTTCAATTTTTTTATATTTTTGGCATAAGCCATTTAGAGGCTTAAGATTATGTTAAGGTAAGTAAAACTTTTCCTGAATTTATTAATAGCATATTCTACTCACCTTGGCATCAACTTTGGTATCATCGTTGAAGGTCACTGAATTATTGCCCTTTGCAAAGTCAAACCATTTTTACTATCAGTTATTATGCAATCATTGAGAGTTTCTGAGCTTGCTGTCTTTTTTGCTCCTTTTGTTCTTGTCTATCTTTGTTTTATACTATGTTTTTTGGCTGTTCAAAATATTCATCCTTAAATTCAAATGAAAGGATCTCATTTGTCAAGATTTATTGAGAAATAGAACAAATATTTTCTTGATGACTCTTTTAACCATATTTAAACCTTTAGCCAGCAGGCAAAAACTAATTGAGCTGTGTCATGACAAAATCAACATAATGGGTTTGCAACCAGCATGGATCCAGACCAGCCTGCGCATCTGTGCAGTCTGATCAGGATCCATGCTGTTCGCTATCGGTTTCTCTAATTGTTATAGAGTTGTAAGCAAACATCATGGATCCTGATCAGACTGCGCGGGTGCGCAGGTTGGTCTGGATCCATGCTGGTCGCAAACCCATTATGTTGGTTTTGTCATGACGCAGCTCAATTATACCAGTGCAGACTAAGATCAGCTGGTAATTCTGTGCTGTCTGATTAATTTAGGTATCATACTGAAACTTGGAATACTTGTTTACCATTTTTAAACAAAGTACAGTTGTGGGCACAATTTCAAGCAATATTCTTTATGAGTTATATTAAGACTAAAATGATAATTTTGTTCTACGAATATTATTTTGAACCCCTATAAAAGGTTAAATGCATATCATTAATTCATGAATAAAATTATTTGAAAATGATAAACAATTTAGGCTTCACTAGTGCTAGCAAAAACAGATTCTATGCATGCAACCAGTGCACACCAAGATCAGCCAGTCTATCTATACTATCTGATCATGGTCTGCACTCAGTGCACATTTTGAAATTTTCCCTAAAAATGATGAATGGTTTTGTCCAGATTGAAAGATAGACAAGTCCATTTAAGATATTTAGCGAGGTAAAGAAGAGGAAAAACAAATTTATATGGTTGAGAAGTTATTAGAGCATGTAGAAAATATTGAGTAAACAGATCATTCCTGAAGTCAGGTGTAACACTTACACCTGTGTATCAGTCTTCATTTATGGGCAGTTTTAAATCATTTTAAGTAATTGTTCATTCTTAATAAACTTAAAATGCAAGAAACTTATCTGTACTAATCTAAACACTGATTAACCTAAATGATATATAACAAATGTTTAACGTATTTTTTTTTTGTCAAATTATTTTCCTTCAATTATTACATGGTGTACATAGCATGAGAAGATATTTGGGATATTTTTTCTTACTTGTGTACTATGTGCTACACCCTTGAAAAAATCTTCTCAAGTATCATATAAACATTGCCAGAAAAGGTTAAGTTAAATTAGACCACTTTTGTAGTTTAAATAAGTTTTGGATACAGTAAATAATAGCAGCTTTCCTTATTGTGTTAAATAAAAGAGCCAGGTATTACAATTTACAAGGAATATACATTAACTGAAAAAAAAAACCTTACTGGTATTTATTGTTTAGCCTTTAATCTCTGGTGCAAATGCAGAATTTTTTTAGGATTATTGTAAATTCATATTTTCCAGAGAGGGTTATGAATTCTTAGGGAGTCCATAGTCATATGAAATAAATTTTCACTACATTTTGGGTGATTTTTGTTAAAAAATGTAAGTTAACAAACTTTAAAACTGATGCATGCTTGATTAAAAACCTTTATTTGGTGATATTTTGGGTGATGATTATAAAGCAATATTTTTAAAGCTTTTCAAAAAATTATATACATATTAATAATTATGATAATATTATGGGCTTTATCTACCTACCAATTGGTTGATTTTTGAAGAAAGAACTAAGATAAGAAATGAAAATATCAATCTTTCTGTCATTTAATGCTCCTCATCACCTAATGTTTGAATCCTGTATCAAGGATGTTGCTTAAATTATTTTTGTTCAACAATAATGTCACAACATATATATTCTTTTATGCATGTTAACTTTCTTGCATACTAATTTGTGCTTATTAACCCAAGTAGAACCACCAACATTTCATATGGGCTCCAGTCAAAGTGAGTTGCATTTAGAATTCAAACATTTTAACTAAAAGGTTTGAACTAATGCAACCTGACTTTGACCAGAGTATATACTGATCAAGTGTTTGAAAAAAAGCTTCACACATTTAATTGCAAAATTTACAGTTTTATTTATTTCAGAAAACGTATTGTTTGCTATGTATGGGCGACTTGAGGAAGATTTGAGAAGTACAGATTCTTTCGATATGATTGATAAAAAGACAAAAAGTTCACGCTCGTCAAAAAATGCCGTTGACACTGAATTTGATCATGTTGACATTGACAATAGTGAAGTAAACCTGAAGAATGATGAAGTAAATATGAAGAATGTTAAAGTAAACATGGGCAATGGGGAATTAAACATGGGAAATGGTAAGGTAAATGTGGAAAATGGTACTGTTAATATTGACAATGGTGGACAAAAGATGGTCAATAGTCAAATAAACATGGGTACTAAAGAAATGGACTTGGGGAATGGTGAATTAATGAAGACTGCAGATGAGTCTCTCTCATCAAATGGAAATCATGATGTTGGATTGAGCAATGGTTGTAAACATTATGATTTAGCGATTGATGCAGACGACAATGTAAAGAATAGTGAAGTTAATCTCGACAATGTTGAACAGTATAAAGTGTACAAGTCTCGCTGGTTCATGTTGTTTGTCGTCTGCTGCCTTAACTTATCAAATGCCATGGTAAAGTACATTTTTAAAAAATCAAACAGTCTTAAAAGTGCAAAATATGCGATAATAGATATAAATGATTACATAATGTTGAATATTGACTTTGTTTTTTCTTTAAATTTGTAAAATTCTGCTTTATATTGGAAATGTCAAAATTAAATTCTACACATTTTATGTTGTCTAATGGATATTTCTATCAAAGTCATATAAAAAATGATCATTTTCTGTATTTCTTTGATGTTTTTTTTTCATCTAGAGTGATTCAAAGTAGTTCTACTACATAATGAAATTAAATGGTTCATGGCTGAGTGGTTTAAATGCCTTGGACTAGTAATCTAAGGACCAGGGGCAAGCCGTTGTTTCATTGACCAAGAAACTTTACACTTATTGTTGATTCCAGGAACAGATTTGAGAATTCTTTAAATTAATTCTGAATGAACTAATAAATCGTTAAGATGGTCACCTATGTTAAACTTAATTCAGAGGTCAATAAAATCTGCTGCAAGACAAGAACTTTGTATTTCACTGTATACCATCTGAGCTGCATCATTTCCTTCTTATAAGAGCTGAATTTATGACACATGCCGTTTTATTACCAAATCATAAAATCATAGTTTGATCCTTGGTCAGGCCACAAGTTTATTAATGTATGAAACAAGCCTAAGATTATAAGCATTATTGGTCAGTGTGCCTTGTCACTATTGTGTGTTTCAGATGTGGATAACATTTGCTGCCGCAGCTGACACCACCATCACATTCTATGGTATAACTTCCTTACAGCTGAACATGCTTTCCATGACATTTATGTTTGCTACAGTTCCTCTAGGTTTTGTGGCATCCTGGGTTTTAGATACCTTTGGACTTCGTACAAGTGTAAGTATTACAATTCTGCTTTTGTTTTGGTTTGTTAATTAACGAAGGACGTCCGTGGCCAGGTGAATAAAGTTGTTGTCTTCAAACCACTTCACTCACTGCTGTGGGTTTGAATCCGACATGACTTTGGATTCTTTCATGTCACAGTGCGGAAGCTATCCAGCTATCTTACGGAATGTTGATGGCTCTACTCAGTTGCCTTCTTGCCTGAAATAATGCACCGAGGGCACCTGAGGTCTTCCTCCACAATTAAAGTTGCCATATGACATTGATACTGTGTTGGTATGATACATGTATGTAAAACTCAACCAAAAACAAAAAAACAACAAAGTTTCATAACCATCAGATTATTGTTGAAAACAAAGCTCTGTGTGGCAAACCTGATAATGACTATATTACTATACAAGAGCATTTGTTTTGATAAATGTTAACTCTTTGCATTTTTTTTGTATGTGACTCTGATGGCATAATTATAAACAGGTGTTTCGAAGTCATCTGTACTTAAGATACCTTTAGCTTTATACATGTGCGTAAGTTTTCATAAAATTTGGTTGCCAGTTTGCTTTTTGTATATGCATGAGTATTGTTGAGAAGAAAGCTCTTAAGACTTCTTAAACTAGGTACCTTTGAAAGTAAATGATAAAATCAGCTGCCTGTAACATTACTAACAGAACCAACAGAGAATTGCTGAAAACAGGGCAATGTGACATAAGCTCAACAGTTGTTACTGATGGCCATCCAAGTACTTGAGTTTGACATTGTATCCCTTACTCACTCAGAGAAAAAAAAAGATGAAAAAAAAACTATCAAAGAACTGTCCAAATTTGGAGTCTTAAAGTAAATAATAGAAAACAGGACTGCATTATGTAATGAAAGAAAGAAAATTCATATTCTCTTATGTAAGTTATTTTAAAGGATTGTCTCAATCTGAATAGAAATACTTTTTTTTATAGGAAAAGAACAATAGTTTAATAAAGGCTGATGATCAGGAATTTTATGCATCTTAGTTAGGAAGCAAAAACATAACTATGTTTAAGCAATAGGAATGCCTCTGTTTAAGGGTTACTAATTACTATATCAGGAAAAAAATGACCAGTATCAGTAAAAAGACTGAATTTCCATGCCTGTCTCATATCTAAGGGTAAAATCTTATGGAAAAAAACCAAAACAACAACATTTTATAGAAAGGTTGCAAGGTGTACAGTTTTGGTCTCAATATTTATTATGGCTAACTATGAATGTATGTGTTGGAAAAAAAGTTGAATACCCTTGAATAACTTTCTTAGCATGGGACTGAATTGATTAATGTAGAAAATGGTCTCCGCTAAACAGAATTATCGGTACCAGAATAACAAAATATCCGAATATTTACAAACAAGAAATGATAATACAAACAGGATGCAATATATTGTCTTAGAAACTTTTTAATACACATTACGTGATAATATTATCCTCTCCTACAGGGTTTAAAATGGTTTTGAAGATACTTCATCTGTTAAAATACATTCAAATACATGTACATTTAGTTGGTATTATAATATTTTTGTGTCTGGTAAAGCATTCTAATAGTTGGTATAGCATAAAATTATTATACTGGGTATATTAGGTTGTATTCTAATAGCTGGTATAACAAAATTATATTTGATATACCATTGTTATAGTTGGTATATCTTATATTGTATTCTAATAGCTGGATATTGTATTCTATAATAGCTGGTATAACAAAATTATATTTGATATACCATGATAATAGTTGATATATCCAATATTGTATTCTTATATCTAATATCTAGTAAAACATTATTGTATCTGGTTCAGCATACAACATATTTAGTATCAGTGGTATTGCGTTCTTACAGTTGAGGCATTGCTGCAGTCAGAAAATTTTAACATAGGCCATAATTTTTTTTTATTTTTAATGGATTGACTTCATACTTGTTCACAGCAATCCTTTGAACATGACCTGCACATAGACCAAATTGATCATGAGCTTCATACATCAATGACCTTGACATTGTAGTTCAAATGAATGCATATGACAAAACTAACATGATGATTAATTCAAATATGACATTTACCTGTAATTGACCTTGACCATGAAGGTCAAATATGAAATTTGAATTTTATTTGTTACAGAAAAGATGTGTTTTTTTAGGAGTACTCTCTACAATAATATTCTCCCTCTGATGTGTTTAGAAAAAAGAAAATCAATTTTTTGAATATGGTAAACAATATAATAACTTCTTATGTATGTATTGATATGATTGAGTTACAATATCAATTTGTCAATATCTCATATGCTAAATCTATAATGACAAAGATAAGCTGAGTTCAACATTTCAACATATTGTAAAAGAGTATAGACAAGATCTGAAATTAGAAAATCTCATATCTCTATTTCTACATAATAAAAAGAAAACTTGCAAATATAAAGGCACATTATGCCTCAGAAAAAAAATCCTTCTTTAGAAAGGGAAACATGAGTTTCATAATGTTTAAATAGTGGTTTTTGATTAGTAAGATGCTTATGAATTTAGCACTGAATATGAAATTATTTGTCATCAAATTATCAAAATGTAAACAAATTAGCTTTTTGACTTAAATTTCATCACTATAACTGTACTGATTGCAAGAGAGCAACAGTTCCGGAAATTGACCAATAAGTAACTTTCAAGAAATTTTAACACAGCACCAAAACTAAAATGCTTTTGATTAAATTAACAAAAAAGTGTTTCTGGGACATAATGGGCCTGTAAAACTGACAGAAACTTTGAACAAAACATTTTTATTCATGAAGTATTTAATACAGAGAAATGACAGAGTTATGAGTCATACAGAGTTATGATTCTTTATATTACCATTATATGACAAGATTCCGGAACCATGAATAATCTAGGAGAATATAAGCAACGGCATGAACTGAGCACAAACTTACATAACAAGCACATTATAATTATAGCATGATCACGAAATATTTTCTATTATGTAAGACAATATTCCAATAAATCTACATATTGTTTTTAGATCTACTCAGTTTATTATCATACTTGAAAATAAGGATGAAAAAGCAAGGTTATATAATTATGAGGGAACGTTCCTATGAAAAGAGCATTGACTTATTTGTACAATTATGTGACATTCCACATAGTCATCATCAACAAGACTGTATAGACATTTAAAAACTTTTAAAAAGTAAAATGAGGAAAAAAAATACTTTCAATACTTAATACTTTCAAAAAAAAAAACCTGTCAAAACTCAGTTCTTTATAAAACAGCTTTCACACAATATACAAGCTACAAGTGGGTAGTTGCAGGTTTGAAAATGCCAATTCAACAATGAAAATCTTACAATGTCAAAACTAAAGTCTGGACCTTTCCTTTTATGAGTTTCAAACCTCTATGAAGTGGGAAGCAGAGATACAATAAGCAAATTTTGTCCATTAAGTACAATTGGCATTTTCTTCAGGCAAATGTTTTAAGTTTTTTAAGGTTCTGACCAGTGCTAATGCCAATGTAAGTTTTATCAGATTCAGTATACATGTTTAGCTGCTGATTTCTTGTTTTTTAATTTTGATAATTTATACACAATAGAATATAAAACAGTCTTGGACAGATTCCTATTCATAGCAGAAGCATTTAACATTTAATCAAAGCAGTCAAAAAATCAAAGGCAGACATGAAATTAAAGCCAGACATTATAAAAGGCAGACATAAAATCAAAGACTGACATAAAATCAAAGGCAAACATTATGAAAGGCAGATATAAAATCAAAGGCAGATACAAAATCAAAGGCAAACATTATGAAAGGCAGAATATAAAATCAAAGGCAGACAGTTTAAAGGAAGTATTGATGAACCATATGTGCAAAGATGCCATTAGGAGGCACATTACATAATCTTTGTAATTTTTGTGACCTCTTGTACTTAATTATGTCAAGATTTATTATCACAAGTTGATAAATTAACAGATCAATACCCAAACTTTTGTCCCTTGTTTCAAATAAAAAAGAAATAATGAAAAAATTATTATATCTTAAACATGAGTCTTTAAAAGGGAAACAACTCCTAAACCAATTTTAATGCAAACTGAAGTAGTTTCCCTTTGAACTGTATAAAACATATTTTAATTTACATTATTTGATCAACAAACTTTCTTTGCATATTTCAGCTGCTGATATCAGCTTGGCTTAATGGTATTGGTGGCTTATTGAGGAACATAAGTACATTGGATGTTATACCAGCAGACCACGCCTACACAGTCCTTCTGATTGGTCAGATTTTAGCAGCTTGTGCCCAGCCATTTGTGATGTTTGCACCGACAAAATTGGCAGCACTTTGGTTTCCAGAAAATCGTCGTGCAACTGCTAACATGATTGGAAGCATGAGTATGATTTCCTTAAATTGTGTTATGGATTTGCCCTGCTTTGACTTTGGAACGTTCCATTCAAAGTTTAAGGGTTTTCAATATCTAAATTTAGCTAACAATGTTCAGTATAGAGCTTTAGATCGACTGCTCAGGTATATAGACTGGTTTGGTACTATACTGTGACAAACGCTAATCATTTTTAAAGTTTGAACACCAGAGAGTAAGAAAATAGTTGGGTTTTTTTCTTCAATTTTAAGTTGTGGGGTTATGAATGGTGGTGGTCATTTTTCATATAACCTGTAGTGTATCTTAATTCATAGCAAAATAGACAAGCAATAGATGTTAACCAAAGCTCCGCAAATGTGGGGTTTTCCCAGCTTATCTGCCAGTACAAACTTTTAATGTTATAGCTTCACAGTGCACTACCTGTCACAATAGATTAAGTGTCAACCTTCTAAGCTGTAACTGTAAGTTTGTTTGTACCATACGGATTAGCTGGGAAAAATTCAAATATTCTTATTTCAGGAGTTAGTCTATTACTAACCATGTTTTGTTAATTTTACAAGTATTATCAATTGTGCATATCTATTAAGTGTCTGCATAAAGTCTTGACATAATTTTAACTTGATAATTATCTTGTGTTTTAATTTTCAGTGAATCCACTAGGAAACATGGTAGCTTTTATTATAGTCCCATTGGTAGTAGAGGATGTTTCTGATATACCTTTAGCTGTAAGTCTTTTATAACAAACCTCTCATTATATTATTGTGATTTTGTTATAACCACCAAATTTGTAACTGAAATTTTTGAATACCACCAAGTTAAAGAATACCACCAAATTTAAAGCACAGGTCTCACTCAATTATAGTGAATTGTTTTAATACTACCAAGTTTGCAATTGAAATGTTGGCATGGTCCTCACTTAAATTTAGTAAACTGTTTTAATACCACCAAATTTATAATTGAAATTTTTGCACAGTTGTCACGGTCCTTTGAGATGAAAAAAACACAGTTAAAATATTAACTAAAGTTGGTCTGAAATAATTATCTAATTTTTGTCTTGTTTCATCAAGAAAGCTATGAGTAAAAATGATTTTGAAGTTTATATATATATGAAAAACATTGTTATTGATCTTAATTGATAGGGATCAATTATAACATTGATAGAAATGATTGTCTAATAAGAAACATTTATTTTGTATATTGAAGTTATGGATAGTATCTGCGCCTGCTTTTTTCATCACCATAGTGACGACCTTTGGTGTAAGAAGGTCAAGGCCACCAACACCACCATCACCCAGTGCAGGGGAAGTAAATCAACCTTTCAAAGATGGTTTAAAACAGGTAGGCCAAAACTAAATTGAATAAACACAACAGCAACACACAAAAAAAGAAACCAATTTGCTACTATTTATTCATATGATACAGAAAATACTGTCAAATTTGAACTGCTGCTTTTGTTGTCTTCAACCCTTGGAGTAAATGAATTGCAAGTGTTAAATGAACTTTAAGGTTTTGCAAGAAGTCCATCAGCCAGAATTATAATTAGAGTCTGTATCTAATTTAACTTCTTTGACCTTGAAATCTGATCATTTTCTCTGAAACAAATTTGTTAAACAAAAAGGTTACCAACATTCCTACTTTGTGAAGGTCTTAAATTCAGTTTCATGCACGTTTGTAACGTCGCTTTTCATTGGACAGTTGTGACGTTTAATAATTTTATATACACGGCTGATGTCGATTCATAAAGGAATCTCGCTTAATTCTTCTAAAAATGATGCTAAGTATGCTGTATTATAAATTTGTTTATAACATTTCTGACAGGTTATATGGCCGTATATAAACGGTTGTTTGCAATATAACCCTCGCCTAGCTGCTCGGGTTATATTTACAAACAACCATTTATATAGGGCCATATAACCTGTCAGAAATATTTATAATAAACACTGTTGCACATATACTCACGGATGGCCTGAATGTGTCAGCTCTTAACAATATTTAACAACATGGATTTTCCTGTTTGGTTTTATTGATAAAAAAATTTGATAAAAGAAGAGGCTAAAATGATAATGAAATGAAAGGCTTTATAATTAAAAGAGGTGCTTGATAATTGAAGGAAAGCTTGATAATAAAGGAGGGTTTGATAATGAAAGAGACTTTAAAGCCATATGCCTCCAGATAAGTCAAAATATTTCAATAAAATCAAACTTGAGAAAAATGAACTAAGTTATAAGGAAAAGTAAACGGTTTCAAGATTCAAGTAATATTTCACATAATATGTGCGTTTAATGACTGATTTTTCAGTATTTACAACTAAATTTCTACTGCGTTTCTAACGCAGTAAGGGCTATTTATGCATATTTGACCACATTTTGGTAATTTACATGGTTTGTTAGTACCATTGATAATGTGTTAATTTTTTCCTTTTGGTTACTTCACAATATTACACATTCAAATAAATTTTCAAAATTTTCATGAAAATTAGTAAGAATCTGGAGGGGTGCTTCTTTAATAATGAAAGAAGGTTTGATACTCAAGCATAGATTCTAATGCCTCAAACTAGTTATCTAAGGATTGCTATCTGCATGGGTTCGAACACTGATAGGGACGAGCTGTTGCTTCCTTGAACAAGAAACTAAACACAGTGTGTCTATAAGCTTCCTGCACAAACAAACTAAAATAAATTCTGTAAACCAACAATAATAACAGACCTGATAACAACAATAACTACAAACCTCAAACCAACAATAATAATACATCTGAGATTATGATAATAAGGGACCTAATAATAACAACAAAAGACCTAGTCACAATTAAATAACAGACTTTCACCACATCTGACCATACTTTATTTTGTTGGGTGGATAACATTATTACTTTGAAATGAAAATGCCTCATATCAACAAGGGAGATTTTGAAATTTAATTCAAGGCAACTGAACATATTACCTAAAAAGTTTAGGTTTTTAAGCTAATGTCTTTTTCAGCAGTAATACGAATACAAATACAAAAACTTCTTTTATGCTTGTAATAGCCAGTAAAACTGGAATTTCCATGGAATTAAATCCATATGGGTCACAGTATATCATTCAGACTTCAGTAATCTTTATCAAAATAAACAAAATAAACATATCATGCTTGCTACATTTAAGAAAGATTTTTTTAAAAAACAGGGGAGGTAATAAAGATACAATTTCAACAGTTTTTCAATTTGAGTTGTACACCTTACCCAGGCAATAAATTAACAAACACCTTAATAAGTGGATCAAGAATATCAGAATTTGCAAAGATTATAAATATTTTGTACTATCAGCTATTGCAAAACAACATTTGGATTTTTGTAATTTTCATCAATTGTTTAAAATCACTTTTATTTTAAAATGGTGTTTTTCTAATTATGTTTTCTTTTTCTCTTCAGATTATAGTTAACAAGAACTATATGATATTAAATATTGGGTTTGGAGCTGGTTTGGCCCTGTTTACAGCCCTTGCATCATTCCTGGAACAAATACTCTGTCCTAGAGGATACTCAGATGTATGTTAAGTACATTTGTTTAAATTTATTATACGAAATTGCTTAACTGCAATTAGTTTTCAGCCTATGCCAACAGTACACAGGCCTGCCTGAACATCTGTGCTGTCTGACCTGGCCTGAGATCTACATGTTTACTATTGACTAAAGTAAGGTCAAATTTTGAAACATCAGAATGAAACTTGAAACAAAGTTCATGGAGTATAATTTGATTCATGTATGAAGTTTGTAGGTTATATAAAAAATAAATGTATTATAAAATTGTTTGTAATGGTTGGTTCAAGCCAGCAAGACTAATTGTTTCTTCACAAGACACCAGTTACTGTTGATCACTTTAAATTTATGGGATAAAATTTTCAAGAAAAGTTTATTCGCAACATGATTATTTCGCCTTTTTCTGCCTTTCATGAACTTTCTCAAATTTATGTAGTTCCATGAAACTTCAATGTTTGGGTTCAATGTCTGGTTCAAATATCCTACAAGTCTAAAAATCTTCAAAAATCAAGCTCAAATGAAAAATCTTTTAATTATAATCTCCACATTTTAACATAGTTATCACATTTACGTTATTAACATTTTCAATATTTCTATAACCACCAGGATTTTGCTGGTATATGTGGAGCACTCATGATAGTTCTAGGAATGGTGTTGTCTGCTGTTGCTGGTGTTTATGTTGATAAGACTAAGCAGTTTGATGAAGTTCTCAAAGTTTCATTAAGTCTAGCTGTTCTGTCAGGAATTGCCTTCACACAGGTAAATTGGGCACTGAATTTTTTGTATTTTGACTTTCCAGGGATCAAAAGATTTCAGAAAATACTAGATATTATATCAAAATTATGGTGGCTGATTTGTGCCATTCGTGTTTTCACCCCGCGACCCCGCCAAAGTCGAGAATTTACAAGTTAAAATGGCGGTTGTGCCAAGGGAGGGGGCAAGGGGGCAGGAGTAGGTGGGATGGGGGGGATCTGAGCAAGATTTAAGAAATAAAACTACAGGGTCGCGGGACGAAAACACGCTAATTAGAGGGGGCCTTAAGGTCCCTTATCTTCATTTGATAATTAAAACTTTGCCAAGCATTCCTCGCAAATTAGCGCGTTTTCATCCCGCGACCCCGCCTAGCGAAAAGTCAATAATTAACAAGTTAATGGTTTTCATCCGCAACCAACCTTTTTATTTCTTAAACCTTACCTCGCGCCCTCACTAATTAGCATGTTTTCACTGGGACCACGCCCCTGCCATTTTAACTTGTTATTTTTCTATTTTTCGCTTCGCGGGTCCCGGGGCGAAAACACAAATGGAACAAATCAGCCACCATACAAAATGCTTACATGATGCTGGTGCTGTCGATGTTAAAAATAGCAAAATAAAATTTCTTGGAGATATTAAAGAGAAGTTTGAGTGGGTAAAGATTAGTAGATTTCAGTAATTACTGATAAAGTTTAAGAGGATGGAGCATGTTGCCACAGTTGTGGTTTATTTGGTCTTGAGTGCTGCATAAACTACACTAAATGGTTTATTCTTTATATTTTATGTAAAGTGGATATTTTTGTAAGTGTCTACAAAGACTCTGCATGAATATGTTAACAAAGTAGTTTTTGAAGCCAACTGTTATAGAATTTAATTGTTCTCAACTTCACATCTTAAAAGATAGTGACATATATGAATACATTTTGTACATTGT